ATGTCACTAAACAATAAAAATCAAAGCTTTAGTCCTAACATGATACTAACATGATATTAAGAAAGAGAATAGAAAGCATCGCAGGAATCATAATTGCCATATTTGATATTAAAACCTTTACCCTAAACACCATATTAGGAAGATCAAACACCCTAACATGACACTAGAAATCAAAACAACCTAGACATGATTTCCATATCATAATAACAATGCAAACAATTAAAGCACTTACTTGGATGTCTCGTACCTCTTTCTAATAACAAAATACACGCGTTAGTAATTTCAAGGAAAATAATAAACAAACAATTAAATTAAATAATTGAAAGAGAGATTTGGGACCAAACCCTCAGAAATTAAAACCTTTCACGTCTTTGGCGAAGAAAACTACGAACTTAATTGGCTAGTTGTGTATAGATCTTGTGAATGCGGAATTTTGCATGAGAAAAGCTAGTTTAGAATAAGAGAGAGAGAGAAGAGTAATCAAGAAATTATTGATGAGAGTTGGTGATAATTAGATGAGAAGAATTGATGATTGAAAACGGAGGTTTTAGGAGACTATTTATAGAGAAAATCAGTCGGATACGATAAGAAACAAATCAGAGTTTCGAAAAGAATAAAATACAACTGCAACGCCAAACACGCGCCTGTCGCCAAACGACAGATCTGTCGCTAGACGCTAGGTCTGTCGCCAGGCGACAGACATGTTGTATGGCGCTGCAAATAGTTTTCCACGCGTTTTCTTATTTTGATAAAATTTAAGCGTACGCAAACTGTATTTTCCTTAAAAACACTTGTTTTATTCTAATTAAAACTCTTAAAAGTCAATTAAAGTCAATTTATCAATGCTAATCAAATTAGGATTCAAAAGAACCTTCTAGAAGACTATAATCAATCTTAATTGCAGTAGGAACGATAAATCATTAAGAGGTCATCCTCTAGATAATTGAGCCGCATATAACAATCAAACCGGGCCCAGTTTAGTAATTTGGCCATAACTTCCTCATTATTCATCGGAATTGGGCTTATAATATATCGTTGAAAAGCTCTTTTTGAACCTGACCAAAATACACCATTATTGGACCCTTGCCATGGAACAAACCAAAATGAATTGGCTGTTTTCTTAAAATAGTTTTTCAAAAACAGAGAGAAAAAAAAGAAATAAAAACTAACCGCAACACTAGACTTTCCACACTTTCACTTTATTCGATTATGATTCGACGTGAAAGGTATTCATCACTGGGCTTGGTTTTGGGGAGACATAAATGGGTGTCTACACTAAGGAAGAGAAATTTTTTAGCCAAGACCTCTATACAAATAACAAACACACATGATAAAAGAGGATCACTCTTCCTTAAATCTCTTTTGGATGGGTTTAATTTAATTAGTAATTGCTTTATAAATCGTACAACATAGACTAATAGGTCTATACTAACTTGCCTTAGTTAGGTAATCAATTTTGGGAATCAATGTAATAATAGTACGATCAAGCTCTTTTAAGAGAATGCATTACAGAAAAGGCCTTTTATTACTTTACAGACATCCGAACTTAATATTGTCCAATAATAATGTTGAAAGAATTTTGGACCATAGCCAATTGGAACTCGAGGCTTTATAGGGAGACATATCAAAGAAAGCGCCCTAATTTCATCATTTGTAAAAGCATAAGTTCCATATTATCAGCGGAGGAATTGACAGGATCAATCCAAGGTAGTCAATTCAAGGTAGAGAGATAACTGGATCAATCCAAGGTAGAGAGATAACTCTTTCGAAGGGATTATCAGATTTGAATCTTTTAGAAAATTCAGAATAAAATACTCAGATTAGTTATTTTAGAGGGGCTATCAACCTATTGTTTATCATCAATTTGAAGTCAAAAAAATTGCTTTTTACTAAACGAAATTTCATCGACTCGTGAAAAAACGAGAGCTCCAATCACCTTTAATTAAACCCAAAGTTCTGGCAATTTGCCACAGAATTTTTGGCCAAATAAAAGAAATTTTTCTCTTTAACGAATAAGATGTTATTGGATATGGAGGTTATCAAGGTCTAATAGTAGTTGATATTCAACCGATAACAATTTAGTCTAATTTAGACTTATCTTAGTTTGAAAATACCGCAAATTCTATGCTACTCCTAGAGTACAGTGGTGCATGGAACTCCAAGTTTATAAAATTTATGTTATTTTATTATGAACTTCTTGTTATTTCAATTTATATATATGTTATTCTAAAATAAGTATATGTTATTTTATATTTCGATGTATTATAGATTTATAAAATTCATGTTATTTTGATGTGAACCTCTTATTATTTCAATTTATATATATGTTATTTTTTTTTAAATAATTACATGTTATTTTAATAAATGCAAAACACCAAAATAAAATAAATAAATAAATAAATAAATGCATGTTTTTTTTTTATACATGATGTTAAAGTAAATAAGTGAATAACATATTATTTTAGCGAAATAACACAAGGTTTTAAGCAAAATAACATAAGACTTAAGCAAAATAACTCAAGTAAACTGGGTATGGAGTAGTGGAGTATCCTGATCCAGGAGTATATAATACTAATTGGTAGATAACTTAGGAGTGAGATTATTATGAGCTGTACCCAGTTAATTTCCCAGATAACAAAATTTGTTTATCTAGGGGTATAATCATCTTTTTAAGTATCAGTGGAACGGTACATGCGTCTTTTCATGTATTAGTTGAGGAGTACAAGTATAATTTCCTCGCCAAACAGTAAATGCAAGTTGCAAACAGTAATTGGACAACTCATCAAAAATACTGAATAAATGGCCACGCTTTTTCAATATATTTACAAAAATGCCATCAGATTAACAAAAATTCGTTTATTTGACAAATAAACTTGTATTTGCCCGATTATTATCAGTGACTAAAATTATAGAAGCACGCAGAAACTGAAAAATGTTCATATAAAACATTAGCACACGGATAAAGAGTTGACATTAGGGAACTAACAAAGTAACGATCAAGATCTTCATATATAACATGCAATTTTGTAAGTCCATAACATGCAATTTTATTATCAGCAAGTAAGAACTTGTCATTGAAATCTCCAACAAGACACCAAGGAAGAAGTGCATTAGAAACAAGATTAAAGATATCAGACCAAAACATACATTTTTGAGATGATTAAGCACGTGCATAGATAACAAAAAGCATAAAGACATTATCTTGAGCCAAGTCATGAATAATTAAAGATGCAATGCCATGTTGTAAATGTATAATATTACCTCTGTTTCATATTATTTGCAATAATTAGACATTTTTCCTCTCTACTTTATGTCAAATCGTTGCGAATAATATGAAACGGAGTTAGTAGTTACATTTAACTTAGATGTATTCCAAAGTTTCCAACAAATCCACATCCCCCCACAACGGCCTTGAGGGTTGATAATATGGACAGATCATAGCCAAGAGTTTTACTCAATCTATGACTGTTATAGAGAAATCATGGTTTCAATATCAATAAAAATATCTGGGTTACATTTCTTTTTAATAAAAATCATCTCACTAATAGGCTGAGAACACTTTGCACCCCGAAAATTCCAGCTAACAGTCTTCATTAAAACAGAAAAGAGATAGAACAACATAATACCAAGTTATAGGGGATATCCAAAAACCAGGTCTTAGAAAGACCAACTGCATAAGGAAATAATCCAAGCCACATAAACGTAGGAAGACTGACTTCGAAAGTAGGGAACAACTGTTAAAGAAAACAGAAGAGCATAAGAAGAGAAAGAAATCAAATTGAAGGGGAAATAATACTCGTAACAAAAACAAAAATATGAAGTAGAACCAAGACTATGATAAAGAATGAAACAAAAAACACATTACAAAGAGTAATGCAGTAACAATATGATCTGGGACAGTAGCAAAAACATAAAACCAAGTTCTTAAAAAGACAATTGTCATGCAATTCAAAAAAAAAAAAAAAAAAAAAAAAAAAAAAAAAAAAAAAAAAAAAGACAATTGTCATAATTTCGATTAGAAGCATAAGGCAAAAAAGCATAAATTCCGGTGAAAAAATAGAGGAAAATTGTAGAAAATGGAAGAAATGGCAAGACCAACAAAAGAGCAAAAGAAAAGAAAAGGCAAAAGTAAGATCGGGGGAAAATTAGCAACTTACAATTTTAAAAAGCCCAAGTAAGAAAAGCACCTAAAAATGACAGAATTCCAAACAAATACCAAGAGAAGCTGATTAACAAATTCATAATTTAACTCACTTAAATCAAAAGAGTGAGAATAATGCAAGTTTCAAATTGAAACTAAGGTCAGATATATAAGTAAAATAGAAGGAACTACAAAATTAAAATAGACAAACCACAGGTTGGATGTATAAATACCATTAGTATGACAAATTTCCAAAGCGGAGGTGAATAGCATATAACTAGTAAGAAGGACAAGGCATTTAATGGAATCAAAAGTTATCAAATATAGAAAAGACAGGAGTAAGTGAAACAAACAAAGATCAAGAAAACAACCCAATATCATGAACAATAGAAGAAAAGCAAAATCATATAACTCATACAAGTTGTCGTACCCCAAGTTCTAGAGAGGAACAAATGTCAAGAGGAATTCAGCAATACTACTACAAATAAATAAATTAAAACCAGCATGAAATAGAAACACCAAAAAAAATAAAAAATAAAAAATGAAAAAAAGCGGTTCATGTTTGGGTTTTGGGTTAATAGAAAAAATTTGTAGAGAAAACAATCAGGGATAACAGGATAGAAAAAAGGAGGTAAAACCTCAATAAAAACTGAAAGATAGATAGATGGGTTACTTTCAAAATAGGTACTGACCAATAACCTAAAGTCCAAATAAAAGGCCTAACTGTACAGCTACAACACCCTCGTGCACTCTAATATATATCTTTTATCTTAATTTGAGGATTAAATCAATTAGTAACCTAAACAGTTCAAGCATCATTAACCAGTTCTCTTCCTAGAAGAAGAGCAGAAAACCATACTGCTAATAAACAACTAGTGCGCTGCCGCTACTTGTTAAAATAGAAAAATATATTTCAAGTTCTACCAGCAAATAACTCAGACAAAGAACAATCACCAGCATGAATTTAAGGCAGTCATACTTATTCTATCGGGTACAAACGAAAAACACAAAGCTTTCTCAATACTTGTCATTTGCTTTGCATACAAGACCCTCTTTAAGCAAGCACGGAGAGGTTCTCCGCTAGCATTCTATGGCCTAGGAGTAGGCGGAATGTAAGACAGAAGTAGGTAGATAGAACTATAGGCATGCAAGAGACTTTCTGAAGCTTCTTCTTGCCCTAAATTGGGGAAACCACGTCCAATTTCAGTACCACAAAAAATTCCTGCCAGCGGAATATTAGGAAAATTATCCAAGATTGGGGAGCTATCAACATTTGGCTTCTCAAAGAAAAAATCACCACGGCCACAGCAAGAAAATACTAAACCTCCGATGATATCCTTGTCCTTTAGCTTGCCAAAGTTTTCAGATACAGTGGCACATGAATCCAATGCATACTCTTTATCAGGAATGTAATAACGAAATTTATCACCAGTCTTAATATCCAAACCTCCAACATACAGGTAATGATCATCTCCCCTGCAAAATCAAATTTGGCAAAAGTCAACAACAGCATAGAATGCAGAAATAGCATATAGATGTTCAGGATACTCAATAACTAAATAGTGACATCAAGTGGGCATGTTAAGCTCAAAAAAGAAAACGAGGACGTTACACAAACGAATGCTGGAAGTCCTTTGATCCTCAGCTGTTTTATAAAAATGAATTGGATAAACAAATTATAAAAGTTGCAGTTTCAGACACAACATATACAGTACGGAGTAAATTATTATGGTTAAAGTGAAATACATATTTATAATTGGTAATAATCAGAATTTAGGCAAGACAATAACATAATGAGAGCTCAAACAACAAAGTTGAACTCAATCCATAGTGATCTGCAGACATTGGAAACAGAACTTTGAGCAATCATAATACAAAAACCGATTATGACTGTAAACCTAGGACTAGGTGAAAAGGTCTAATATACTATAGTGTTATGCTTCATGCTGCTGGCAAACCAGAATGAGTAGGTTGAACATTCTAATAGGGAGCATAGTGATCATTATTTTGTTTCACATTCATTCTCATTTTGTCTTAGAATGACGTCCAGTAGTGCTAGGGCCCACGGGTACACGCCTTAGAACAGCCAACCACCGATCATGGGCCAAACACATGAGAGCTCGATTGTGTGGGAGATACATTAACTTAAAAAATTGAATCAGAAAAACTAATGTCTGATGGTGATGATGATGTTGAATCGGAGGAGCAAAAAATGATAAGGGGATGTGAGAAGGAGCTCTAGGGTTGGGGTGGGTGTTTTGGGGGTGGATAGGGGTGGCCGGGTGGGTGTTTCGAGGTTTGGTGTTTTGGGTGGTGGCTAGGGTTTTCCTTCGTGGGTAAGGGGATTTCAGGGCTAGGGGTGGGGTTATTGGGCTTGGGGTTGGTTTTCAAGGTAGTTAAGGGATTTTCCGGCATCGGTAGAGGTTTTTCAGGGTTGGGGTTGGGATTTTGAGGTGGTTATAAGGGTGTTTTTTGGTGGTTGGGTGGGATTTTGTCGTTTCGGGGTTAGCGGTGGTGGAGTTGAGTGTTTAGGGTCCAGAACGGCAGCGGGTGGGGTTGAGGTTACATTTAAGACGACAGTGGGTGGGTTTGTGGTGGTTATGGTGATGGGTAGCCATGGGAAGGGTGTAGGGAGGTGGGTGGAGAGATTAAAAAAATCAATTTAAAACTATTTAACATGCTAATCAAAAGGATTGTTAAAAGAAGATGTGTAAAAGGTGGAATTGTTTTGGGAAGATGGAGCAAAATTGGGATTATTTATTTGTATTTTTCCTTTACAATTTTACTCAAATATAATTAAAGATACTCATGGTTCAATATGTGCATTGACAAGTGTAAAAATCTCGACGTCCTAATTAACAGAGAACAGAGGAATAATTATTTAATTATAATAAACTTTCAAGGAAAAATAACAATAAATCATCGAATAGAAAACAACAAATCTATACACGTTTCTAAAAGTTTTAAGCACCTTTTATTTTTGGTGTATTTTATTAAATTCTTCACTTTCACTCTATTTCATTTTTGGCATATCCTTTTGACACTTTTAACCCTCTCACACCATAATTTAAACACTTTTCAACTCACTAACACCCACACTCTTTATAAATCTCTCTTACTTAATTCATTTTTTTTTCTTACACTTATTCACCCCATCACCACTTTCCCTTCAATTGCCTTAATTTGTGTGCAAATAGTAAATGTTAATAATATTTTTCTTTTACTTCAAATAAGTTTTCATTCAGCACCAAGAAACTAGAATTAATTTGAGAAGTGGAAAAATTAAGAGAATGTCATGGGAAGAACCTTAATCATTTGTCTAATTATGATGATTTAAAAACCCCAAATTGATTATCAATTCTCATAATAGGGTATGGTTCTTACTAGATCTTAATTTTATGTACTACTTTTGTTCCCTGAAAGTACTTTATGATTACTATTTGCACACAAATTAATGCAATTGATGAGAGATTGTTGATGTGATGAGTGGGTGGTCTGGGTGTAATGAATAGGTGAATGAAGTAGGAAAGAGATTGTGAAAATTTGGGTGGGTGTAAGAAAAAGGTGGAAAATGTAAAAAGATTGTGGAAAGCCGAGTGGTGTAAGCAATAGTTGGAAAAAGTATGACAGAGTGAATGGGAAGGTGTTTGCCAAAATATTAAAGTAAAATAAGTGTAAAGAACTAAAGAGCACACTAAAATGGAAGGTGCAAAGAACTTAACGGAGGAAGTGTATATACACTAACCCAATGTAAGAATGAAACCTACTATAATACTAAAAGCCAAAACTAAGGGTTATCATTTTCTATCAATCCAGCAACATAAACCAACTAAACATTTGCTAGATGTAGAGTACAATAAGCTGCTAACTGGTGAAGAAAAGAGAGAAACTGACGCAGAAATACAGAATACGAGAGAAGCCAACTCTTTTTCCATTTTTAAAACTTATCCAGCAAATAACTGGAAACTGCAAAACAAATATTTGGTTCCAAACTAAATTAAAGAGAAAATAAAAAAGAGAGGGTGAGAAACCCCAAATTATGTAGACAAGCCCTTACTCCTCACTGATTCAAACTTCAAAGATTTAACCAAGCCCAAAGTCCAATCTATCAGTATATAAGTATATAATTTCATGACAAAATACAGCAAAAACTGCAAATTTTAAAATCTAATAAGCATTGATAGATACTCCAATATGTTTTAAAACCTAAATCAAGTTTAGAAATATGAAATTCTCTGGAGGATGATCTGGTCTTTCATCAAATGTGTTGATAGCTCAGGGTGGTAGTTTTATGTTATTGCAACAAAACTTTTGCAGTTATCCCATTTATTGTACATCTTGCTCTAAGCATGGTTACATTCTTTATTGATTAACTAAAGAAGCAGCATATATAGTCCAAAAGATGTAAGCATGGAAGACCATCTGTACTACAGTATCTAACAGAGTAGAATACCACTCGTGTTCAGTATATATATAACAAGCATTCAAACACAGTTGTTAGTGATTACACTAACAAAGTAGCATATACATATGCATGGGGCAGCAACATGTTCTTTAAACTTATATTTGTAATAAATAATAGTCAGATGTCTTACTCTTGAACAGGATGATAGGCCACAGTCTTCACATATCTAGCCTGCTCTGAGCCAATGGAATATTTTCTTCTTTTTCTTATCCCAATGTGCAGATCAAAATCCGGGAATAGATTGCCCATCTGAATAATCCAGAAAGAATTTTTCTTCACATGCAAATATATAAACATACAAGCAAAAAGGAATAGCCATATACAACATAAAAAATGTACTCATAGTTGTTAGCTGCAAATCTTGCAATTATTAATATATAACTAGCATTGAAAAATTCACATAATTTTCACATTTGAATACAAGTTGAGGTTGATATCCAAATACTTGAGCCACTAATAAATTAAAACACTTCATTGCAAAGACACAAGCATACCTCCATTTCATAAGCATTTAACAATCCTTCACCATCAAGAATCTCATTTTCTCCCTCTCGTTTGGCAGTCAACCATGTGGTAAAGTCAGGGGTACTCCTTTTAGCAGAAACCACTTGATATGTTGGGCCCACGGCAGTAACTCCAGCTCCTACTGCATAATGAAATTCAATTTTCCCTTGAACTGCATATTAAGAAGGGGCCAAAGTCATAGTTCACTACTTAACTGCAAAAGAAAGCATTCAAGATAAAGTTTAAACTCTATCATATATGAAAAGTATTCAATGACATGTGTGGGGTAGTAACTTTGAGAACTGAAGCCAAATAAGAAATGTGCAACAAGTTTAAACTCTAAAAAACCACATGCATAATATCCTATAGAAATACAACAAAGAGAAGGTTCGGCGCAATGCAAAAAGCCTATGATTCATAGCAAGAATTATTTATGGTTTTACATGAGCATGGGTACAATCTGGAAGTTAATTCTCTGCATAAAATTTTTTACTTCAATAACAATAGTAAACTTTGTACACATATGTGCAGATGATGAGTACTAAAGGTCACACATGGATGGCCATGACAATTATATTGTCCTCACTCCTCAGAGAGAAGACATACGACTCGTCAACTCCACCATGCTGAAGCTTATGAACACAAGAGTACTACACTACTGAAGGCTTAATCCCTATGATAGGGTTGGCAACATGAACCAAGATTTTATCTCCTATATACTTAATATGCGTATCACAAATTTGCAGATGACAATTGGAATTCACTCTAATAAATCAAAGTTACCAAGGAATCCAAGGCATTGTTTCAAATCTGAGATCTGGTCACAATCGCAATAATAATTGCAGAATCACTTGTAATATGGGTGGTTTGCAGCTGTTTCAGCCTTTAATTCGGTCGTGGTAATCTCAAGATCATTTACTATGCGGTAGCGATGTAGTGATGTGGCTATGTTTAATACCACGGTCCAAGGTACTAAATAAAATAAGGCAGTTCATCCAGCATGGCCTCAAACCAAAATGAATTCATAACAAGAATGCTTCCAAAATTCTCAAATATAAAATTGGTGCACTTTACAAGAAAATCCTGAATAGTGAATGTGAACACAAGGTAGGTAACAACAAACAATATCATCTAATGCAGCAACATCCCTCGCACATACAGAATCCCCACTCTATCAATAATACAATTACCAAAATTTTTGTATCAGTTCATACAACATAAACCCTAACCCAAATGAACATATCATATATGCTACCAAAGAAACTAAAATTATAGCAGGGAAATTTCTGTATGCAAAAAGAGAAGGCAATATGTTATACCACCAAATGTAGTTCTCTCCATTGCAAAAACAAGAGCAACAGCATCATAAGATGATTCCTGTCCTCGATGTGTTGAAATGATTTCTGTATCAATGCTTGAATGCCTGAAACTGCAGATTTCATTTCCAGCAATGACAGTTTTTTTAGACAACGCGTAATCTGCAGGACACAAAAGTCAGCGGTCAAAAAAAAAGTATGAAATTGATCATGGGAAAGCTAAAATCAGAAATACACAGTTTAAACACAAAAAGAAAAACAATACACTAAAATAGCCACTTTACCCTGGACCTAAGCCAAGCCGCTTGAAGGGCTAAATGAATAATATCAAGGTCAAACATAGAGTGCATTGTAAATCATGATGAAAAAATAAACTTGATTTCAAATTTTCAACAAGCAGAAGGAATGAATATTAGAAGCAGTCATAATGAAACAGCCAACTACACTTGGCCAAAACCTAATGAAAGCCTGAAGCCAAAGGGATCTAGGGTGCTCAACTCAACCAACAAAGAAGGACCAAATAATATTGTAGGTTCCAACAATTGCCCAAGTGTATCAATAATCTAATTGATATATTAGGTTCCAAAAGGGATATGGATAGACTAGCCCATGGAATAATAGATGGACTAATGAAGAGCAGTTCAATACGATTTGGCCTATAATTCTTTAGCAGAAGTCATTATAAATCAGCAATGATAATCAATCCAGCATAACAAGAATTTAGCTATTATGGATTTATGATCATGATATGATGAAGCAAGGAATATCTGCCGAGCCAGCATTTTGCAATTTAAAACCATTTTAGAAAAGTAAAAGCCAAGGGAATACATACAATATGTACCAAATGACTATTTTCCGAAAGTAATAGCAAAATGTATGCCTAAACAAATCAATAGCTAGCTCTACTAAAACATAGCTAGAAGCATCTCCCTATTCTTTACCACACATGTACCACTTGCTTCACCTCAGTACAGGTGCATTTGAAATTTTGAATATCAGGTACTCTGTACTCACCAGATGGCCAGAAAATTGGTCCCCGTTGTCAAGAACATTTATCAGCTGCAATTCTCCTTCTCCCAACCCTCTAGCCCCCTTCCATTATCCAAGGCTTCAGATTGATCTCCATGCTCAAGATTTTTTTTTTTTTTTTTTTTTTGTTTTTTTTTGCCAAAGGCCAAACAGCTCTGATATCGATCTCCTAAACATCTTCACTAACCTGCCTATACCTCTCAGTGGTACTGTGGTTACTTGCTTTAAAATTTGTGGGCTATGTTTATTGTCTTTTTTTAGACATACATTTATACTGATTTTATATAATAATTTCATTAACATTTCTAAACCAGCTATTCAGGGAAGTTGATGCTTGAGATATATGATGGTCGTGATAATGGGAAATAATTGAGAGCTTATTATCATTAAGAAAAAAAAATCTAATACAAAGTTGCCAACTCAACTGTTTAGAAACAAATTGCAGCTTGTCAGAAAGAGAAACTATTACAACATTGTTTTCCCAAAAGAGTTTAACATGCAATGGTTGGGCATAATCTTTACCTTCAGGACGTACAACTACAAAATCTAGCTCAATGGAATAAAGGAACAAAATCAATGTGCCATTATTGGAGGTTTTCATGTACTATTCAAAAAATTCATTCTAATTGAGCTCTTATGCATTTGCAGCGACACAATTTGGGTAAATATGCATCTCAAAGAAGGATTGATCAAAAACCTCGCCACAACATACACATGGGTATATTATTAGAAATTATTAAGGAAACATGGAAAGAGTGGTATCACAATTATTGATGATACATGGAATGATCCATAATAGAGGCTGCTGATTGATTTCAAGACAGTTTAGGAGTTCAGGATATTAGCAAATAGTCTGTAGATCATTGCCTCCTTTCTAAAAAAATAAAATAATAAGCGGTTAATATTATGTTCTGGACCATAACAGGAGACATGTAACTAAACATCTATGAAGACCATGAGTAGCTAATACTCTAAAGTCTAAACCATGCCTTGATAATATTTGTCCAGCAAATATGAAGTCAAATTTATACATATGATGAGCGGCATAAATTCACAGACCTTATTGGTGATACAGACTAATACAATGCAAAGCAAAAACTTTATCCTCTCTAACAAATAAAAATGGACTGCAACTAGGAGGGAACTTCAGAGCGTACACATAATTGCTTCAAGCATTGGCATTTAGACTTTAAATAGCATAGCCAGCCAAATTCTTCCTCTTACTCAACTTAAATTTCACTTGAACTTTCATTCACACCTATAAGAGAAAATTACTGTCTCTAAAGTTGGTAACAAACTTTGTTTATCAATCTTGAATTTTTCGGTTTTTATTTTCCCTCCTAAAATAAGCATGCATTTCAGTCATAGCACTAATTTTGATGTTCTCTTCATCTCTTAGGAGGAATTTGCAAGTGATAATATAAAATAGAGAATGAAACTCACCCAACTTTTCGAGAACAGGTTTCATATGAGCTTGTGAATCCTATATCACCATAATAAAAAAAAAAATAAAAAAAAACAAAATTAAAGCATTCAACCAAAAGATATTTCAAAGAGGAAATTATAGCTTTTAAGCAAGAAACAAATAAAGAACTCACTCCAAACATTATGATTGCCTCAGGGGATGTGAGACCTGATACAGAAGCTGAAAACCTCCTCAGGTCCATCACAAACTTGTCAATACTACCTCCCTATCAATACAAAAATTGTTCACTTTTAATGTTCAAGTTCTGCTAATTTAATGGTGATGAAATGGGGACTATGTTACAAAGCATATACCTGTTTTGCTTTAGGAAGTGAGATGATACCAACTTTAAGGCTAGGCAAATATCCAATTGTTAATGAAATACCCCCATTGTGCAGAGGACAATGATCATCATGATCAGCATCATCATCAAAATTTGGGAACATCACCTGTCCAGTTCTTAAGTCAATAATAAGCTACGCAAATAAATAAGCTATCATGAAATGCAACGTACTACGTGCTCAAGTTAGGAATTAAGATAAGAAATAGAAAAAGAATGGAAGAAGATAGTGGCAGATTGATTGATAGTAGCCAAAGGCTTTCAAGGTTACAAACTAATGGCTTTAGACCATCACTCTTTAATATACCAATACAAATTTCTGAATACCTTCTCACTCCTCACTTCTTGCTATTTAACTTAATCTATTACAAGTGATGTGGCATGAGCTTTAATTGATTCATTAACTAATCTTGTCTTCTTCCATAAGCTACCAAAATAACCAGTGCAAAGCAAAAGTGCCCTGCAGCTTTGGTGCCGTTTCTAGTTGCTACTGTAGTAGTTTGTTGTTGCCCCCCCCCCTCTGCTGCTGTCCCCTCGTGCAGTAGGTGCACACAATGGGTCGCTTGGGTTGTTTCATTGCATTACTCCCCCCCCCCCCAAACTACCACCTTGTCCTCAAGGTGGAAGTCGGGAATCGCTTAATGATTGACTTCGCCTCCTCCCACGTGGCTTCAAACTCTGGTAACCCTTTCCATTTCACCAAGACCTCTTGAACAACCTCCTTGCCCTATCCACCACCAACTCCAATACGGAAGTGATCTGGAATGGTGCTAAGCTCGGTACATCCCCTATTACTCTTTTTAATTGCGAAACATGGAACACTGGATGAACGCGACAATTCTCCGACAACCCCAAATTATATGCAACCTTACCCATGCACTGAATAACCTTGAAAGGTCCATAGTATCGCGCTGCAAGCTTCTCAAAAGGTCTCTTGACCACAAAACGTTGCCTGTACAGCTGCAGCTTAAGGAACACAAATCACAAATGTGAAAATCCTCATCTCACCTCTATGCATCTGTGCTTCTTTTCATGACCTGTTGGGCACACATCAGGTTTAATTTCAGCTCATCCCACACGACCCCACCTTTATTATCTTAGGATAATACCTTCCATAGAGAACACAAAATGGAGACATTTGTGTGGAAGAGTAAACTGCAGTATCATACGAAAACTCGGCCCATGGCAACCACTTAGCCCACATCTTAGGTTGTTCCCCAACAAAACAACAAAGATATGTCTCGAGCCCCTTGTTGACTACTTTGGTCTGACCGTCAGTTTGGGGATGGTATGAGGTGCTTTTTTCAATTCTACCCCATGCAAGCGAAAAAGTTCTTTCCATAATGCACAAAAAAATGTCAAAGCCAAAAACAGGTGTCATACCCCGATAAAATGAGCATATTTCGACAGCCTATCCACCACTACCAAAATCGTATCAACTCCCTTCGATCATGGCAACCCATCCACAAAACCTATTGTTATATCTTCCCACATTGCCTCCGAAATCAACAATGGTTATAGAAACCCCGCCGAAGAGAGTGTTTGTTTTTTAGACAAACGAGGCAAGCTCGCACATAATCAATCATGTCGCGCCTCATCCCTTGCCAAAACCATTCCCTTGCGATCCTCAAATAAGTCTTCGTTTCACCTGCGTGTCTGCCATCCATCCGGCGAATCATGGTAAGCCTTAAAGAGTGTCGATTTTAGGCTAGAATTCTTCGGCAACACCACTCGCCCCTTGTAAAGTAGTCGGATTCCTTCCATCATATACCACTTACTCTCTTTCCCATCTAATATGTCATGCTTCAGTATACTCAACACCGCATCCTCTCTCTCTCTCTCTCTCTCAATTAACACCTTGTGTGGTTACCAAAGCCGCTAGCTCTAACTCATCCTCCCCCCTTCACGAGAGGTCGTCCGCGACCCAATCTAAGGACCCAGGTTTGTATTAAAGGTCAGAATCGAACCCGACTAATTTCTGAACCCATTTTTGATAATCCATTCCAACCTCTCGTTGTTAGGTAATGTGTCGTAAGCTCTGTTGGTCACTTCGAACCACGAATCTCCTCCCTCAAAGGCAATGCTTCCATTTTTGGATCGTCATACACATCGATCGCCTGACCCCAAGACGTTGCTAAAGAAAGCCATTAGTCTTTGTTCTTCCATCAAAACCATGTCGTGAATTCGAGGCATCGGTCCTAAAAAGCCTCTAAGTTCTCTCAAAGTTTTTGGAGTGGGCCAAGTAATCATGGACCACACCTTCTCTTGGTCCACAACAACCCCATTCTTCGAAATTACATGGCCTAACTAAGCCACTTCACCTTTGCCAAATCCAAAAAAATTTCAATTGGCAAACAGTTGATGCTCTTTTAGTGTTGCTAAGACAATTTGCAAATGTTTCACATGCTCATCTTGACTAACACTACATAATAATATCATAAAAAAATACAAGAACTTCCGAAGATAGGGTCGGAATTAATGTTACCAGTGCGTTGGTAAGCCCAAATTGCGTCACTAAAGTCGTAATGACCCTCATGATTGCAAAATGTCGTCTTGTGTGTATCCTCGAGTTTCACTAGAATTTTATGATAGGCGGCTTTGAGGTCGAGTTTTGAGAATACTTGAGCACCATCCAATTCATCTAATAGCTCATCAATGACCGATATTGGATACTTATCGGGGACGGTTTCTTGTTAAAAGCCCATTAGTCAACACAAAAAGCCATAACATGTCCTTCTTGACAAGAAGAACCGGGCTAGAAAACAGGCTAGTGGAGGGCCGAATTATACCCGCCTCAAGCATTTCACGAATGAGCTTCTCAATCTCATCCTTTTGAAATCACGGGTACCTATATGGTCGAAAGCTAACCGGGATTGCTCCTTTCTTTGAGAGATATAGCATGTCTATGGCCCCTAGTTGGAGGTAGCCCCTTAGGACTCTCAAACACCTCCGGAAATTCCATGAGGGCTCCTTTTAAAAACTCAAGATCTTCTCCTTCTTGCTCACTCACAATCTCCTCCATCGATTTAGCTCCACAAGTATTCCTCCCTTCTCCTTATGCAATGTTTTAATCATGGCCTTCAAGGTTATCCCGATGAGGGACAAAGAGGGGTCTCCCTTTAGGCTCAGAGTACCCTCCACTTGAGTTTTCAACTTTGTAAGCACCGCCCCAAGCTTCTCTAACCATTGTACTCCAAAAATGAGGTCAGATTTCCCTAAGTGAAGGGGTAAAAATCATCTACCACCTTTACCTTATCACCAGACTTGAGCTTCACTCCTAAACATTGCCCTTGTCCCTTCACTACCTCTCCATTGCCTATCGAAACACCAAACACTCCATTACCTACTATTGGTATTCCTAACTTCTCCATTACGAACAAGGATATAAAATAGTGAGTGGCCCTTAAGTCAATCATCACTACTACTCTCTCACCCTCACTTGTTCCCAATAGTTTCTTTGTTTTAGGATTTGTGATCCCCACTTATGAGTTAATCGATATTTCGATAGGCTTCTCTTCCTCTTCCTCATACGCCCTTTCTAAGGCCGCGAATTCGCCTTCACCGCCTTCCACAAACTCTTCCTTTACTAAAAGCACACTTAGCTCCTTCGCCTTACACACATGATAAAATCCCCATCTTCCATCATTGAAGCATAGCCCTCTTGTCTTCCTTTCTCTCAGTCTCCTAACTTCTCCACTAAAACGTGAAGAGTTTAGTGTGGATTTAGCCTTTGAGGCCTTGTTTGAATTAGCTTAGCCCATTGAACTTTGGGTTGGCTTGCTAAGCTAGCTAATAGAGTGAAAAGTGGCAGATTGGGCTGCCCACTTCCCTTCCTAATAAGGTGCATGTTGGACTCCGATTAAAATATGAATACGGACTCGATTTAGAGAAAGCCCTACCCGACTTCTTTGACCTATGGATCCGATTTCGTTCTTCCACTTGGGTTGCTAAGTCCATAGCTTGCTCGAGGGTAAACAGGTTAAGCATCCGGATCTCAACCCATATGTCCTCCTTCAATTCATTTAAAAACTGCCCTTTCATCAAACTTTCAAGCATGTCAAGAGAGGCGACGCCTTTTCAAAGATCTCCCTTTTGCGCTAGCGTTCATCGGTCAGAACTGGGTCAAAGCCCTATCCTTCATATCTTCCCCGCACGCAACGACCTTCTCTGGTTCTCCCATTTATGCCACCTGAACGCCTCATTCTTCATCGAAACCACACCAGCTTGAAGTAGTTTGTGCTACGTGAGGTTGTAGAACTTAAAATATTGTCAGAAAATATGGGCATCTCAAGCTTTAGTATTTCCAAAATCCCCAACCTCAATGGTTCACCGCTCTCCCAGCCTCTTGGTGGTTCTCTCTCTATGTCATTTCTAGGCTGGCAATCCCTAACCTGACCCGATAACCCAACCCGAAACCGACCTGGATTATAGAGGGAAACCCGAACCCGACCCGACCCGAACGCAAACAACCCGAATTCAACCCGATTTTACAAAAATTTCATATTTCGTAATAACATTAGGTTTTACACTATTAATTGTTTCTAAGCATAACCCGAAATCTGACTCGCACCCGACCTGCTAATCCGAATTGCCACCCCTAGTCATTTCCCAAGACCAAAATGTCTCATGGGACCGCCACTGGCGCCGAATGAAGATGAAATATTTCTACTTATCTCTCACTGATGTCAACACGTCAACACTCCCTAAATCTCTTCGAATAATTTATCCTGATTTCTTTTCACCAAGGGTGCTTGTTGGTTGTGGCCATCCTGGAAACGGTTGAGCCTCCCCTCAAGTTGTCGCGCCTAGGCTTCATGCTACTTTGTGAACTGCTCCGACAAATGACTTCTGGAGTGCTTCCACACTCTCGGTGATAGTCTAAAACATGTTCAAGATTCGAAACCACGTTCTTTGATTCTTGTTCACCCTTTTATGAAACAAACTCTTAAGGATTACTCCGTATGTTACATGGACTCGAGAACGAGTGTCGGACACGGACACATGTCCAAGTATCTAATTCGGTGAGTTGCAAAATTTTCGGGCACGGGGACTTTGTCCGATATTTGGACACAGGTACGGGGACACGTCGATACGTCATTTAAATTTAAATAAATAAATAATATATCATAGAAGCTTTACATTTTCAATAAGTCTACCCTTACTTTCTTCATTTTATTTGCTCGGTAAATTCTCCCAATAAATGGCTTCTCTTTTTAGACAAATCCTTCATGCTTGATTAGCAAAACTAAAGACAATTTTGGTGATCAAAGAAACCTTACAAAGATTTTACAAAGAACATAGAAGCATTGAAATTTGAAATATTCTAATCTTGGAACCACATAGACGACATAGGAATGATGTACAACCACTTCTTGCGAAGATTCTTTGTTTTCTCTCTCTCACTTTTTTCTTTCAAATAACTTATTAGGAAATTTACGGCATTAAGCCTTCCATTAATGGTTTTAAGCACTATTGACCCCTTACCACAATAAGTGGAACCCATCGATATGGCAAAGTATAAGGGCATATTACTCAAACCCTTAGGTACAAAAGCTAATTTTTTAATTGTTCCCTCCAGCTTTTTCTATTGTAAACATGGGATCATGGTTATGAAAATGTATTTTGCATCAAGTCATCCAAGGAGGAAGATTATGTGTCATTTTCAAAAGACATAAAGGGATTTTGGCAACAATGAGAAGTTGATAGTAGTTGGGAAGATATGTTTTCAATAGATATTGAATTCCTCTAACTCAGATTTCCTTTTGGAAAAGTTGCACATGCTTGTTTAATCTTTAAACACAACGATGGAAAGTTTACACTATTCACACACACTCCTTTAACCATCTTGATTTATACGTTAGAAAAACAAAGCCATGTGGTTTTCTTGTTGGATTCATCTCGATACGTACAATCACAATATTAAATTTTTAATGATTTTTACTAAAGTAAGATAAGGGATATTAATGGTATAAAATGTGCATTGGCAAATGTGAAATCTCCAATGTAGTTAACAGAACAAAGAATGCAATAATAAATAAAATTAAATTTTAAAATAATTGAGTACTTTGTAACAACAAAATTGGTGAGTTGAATGTCAAAGCTCGTTGATACTTATGGATATTTCATTTCATTGGTGGATAATTCACCACACGATGGCTTAAGATAAGGCGTGAAACCCTCTAATACACCATAGGCTTTTCATAAGGTTATGAAAGATGCTCGTTGCTTGCCATTAATTGCCTTCATTTGGGTGAACTCCTTTGTTACAAGAAAAGTTTGGGAAAGAAGAATAAAAAGGCCATGATTTTATTGTATGAAAACATGTAAGAACAGGGTGAAATCTCGTACTATTGTTTCTTTTAATTACAATTAAATGTGCGGAGGTTGGGCTAGGGTAAAGGTGGTAACAAACATTGTTAATCTTGCACTTGTAAGAAGTTAAAAAACTACAATGCTCCCGTGTACTTTTGGTTTTGTTTGGGTTGTTCATCCCAAGTCTCACATGGAAGACATAAGGAAGGGATGATTTCCTTATAACTTGAGCACACTCAATTAGTATGAGAAGGCTTTGTGGGAAGGTGCCCAAAAATAAATTTGTGCTTGGTCAAAGCAGACAATATCATTATAATGTGGAGTAGAGTGCGTGTGCGACCCGATAGGGTGGAAAACTCGGGTAGTCGGGCCTAACAAGTGGTATTAGGTTCAGCGGGACAAACACGGGCGTTATGTGTGTGGGACGCTTCCTTAAATGTATGACCTTGCAATTGTGTTGCCTAACGTCGAAAGTCCTTCTAATTTTGTGGCTTAGGCGGCGTGTCTCGTGGTGAAAGCGGCGATGCAAGATAGTTATAAGTGGTCCTTGGTCTAAGGGGAGGCTAAGAGTTTATGTCGTCCTTGGTTTGAGGAGAGGTTTGTTGGGGTTGTTCATCCCAACACCCACATGGAAGAAATAAGGAAGGGATGACTTCCTTATAAGTGGAAGCACACTCAATTAGTATGAGGCCTTTTGGGATGGAGCTAAAAACAAATATGTGTGGCTAGGCCCAAAGCAAACAATATCATACTAATTTGGAGTGGAGTATGTGTGCGGCCCGACAAGATAGCCCAACAGGTTTGTCGTTATTCCAACTTATCTTGCATAAGTATGAACAAAAATATTTGAAGAGATTTTAATCATCTCGGACGTCTAAAGTCTACTCGGAGTCAGAATGACATTGATTTTAGTGATCTCTATGTGAAATTTTAAAAAGGCATAATAAGATTATTTGTAGGATATGAATAAGAAGCATAAGAGGATAGGATAAGGATAGGAAATTATGGGTAAGATAAGGATAAGATAAAATGTTATCCTTTATTTGTACTCCCTGTGTCCCCAATTGTTTGCACCAAACCATAAATCGACTTTATTAAGGCTTTGGGCAAAAAAATAGTGTACATGGGTTGACACAAATATCAATGAGGAGATAGATAGAGAGAGTGCAAGTGGGAAAACATGCCAAAAGTAGTATGGGGCAATCTTTTAGGGACAGAGGGAGTATAAGATAGGGATAATAGTAGGATAAATCTATGTTCAAGTGTTTACCCATCACAAACAATATCATACAAATATACAATGAATTCCAGCACAACATTCTCAAGGAAAAAACAATCTCACCTCTTTTAAACAGTCAGTTTCCGCATCCCTTCCAATGATCCCATTGACATCACATGTAACAATCGGGATTTTAGTACCCAATTTCTCAGTAATCTACAAATACATTACAATTCAAAAGTTAGTTTCATAACCCCATTACAATTTTCAGTATAAAAAAAAATAACAATTGAAAGAGATAGAAGATAAAATTACAAGTTTATGAGCATCATCGAGATCAAATTTATGACAAATCGAGAGAATTGCAAAATCAGGTCGAATTGGCTCAGAAAGAACCTTTTCAGTCACCTCATTCACAGCTTCCTGCAACCAAATCAAAAAAATGAATTCAATTCAATTAATTCAGTCAAAGAAATGAATTCAATTCAATTCGACATTAATGGAATCAGGGATAGATGAGAGAGGAGAGAGAATTTACCCTAAGGCTGGTATTCAAAGAGAATACAGATAATAATTTGGGACGAACTAGAATACGACTACAAATGTCGTTCCAATCGCGGCTAACGCATGCGGCTGATGCGAAATTTTTGGCCGGGAGTTTGGAGAGAATTTTCTGCAGAAGGAAATCGTCGAGCTCTGATATCTCAGCACCCTCGATGGGGCATGGGATTTTTGGTGGGTTGTCCATGGAATTGAATTATTTGTTTGCCGGGAGAACAAGGCAATAAAATGAAATGTGTGTTCCTAAAAATTAAAAAAAAAAAAAAAAAAAATTAAAAAATATTAACATTTCAATTAGTTCGTCATTGAATTAGCGATTTTGCCTTAAAAATCACTTATGTACTTCAAATAGCGATTTTATCTAAATAGTAACTTAAATCATTTTAGTGCAAAATTATACTTTTGTTCCCGTAATAATCAGACCTCAACGTGGCGATTTTTCCTCCTTTTTACCGAAAAAGATACACTTTTCGTCATTACAGGTATATTTACATTTAGAGGACCCATAATTATGTGTGAAAGTTAGATTTACTATTTGATTCTGGCTTATACCAAAACAAAAACCAAATCGTATTCAAATCAAACCAAATTGTATTACTATTCAGTCCAAACCAAACTACGTTGTTTTTTATTTGGTTTTCACAAAATGAAATGAAGTTTTATAAGAAGCTCAATCTCCATCTCCAAATTTTATTAAAAAAGAAAATATATATATATACATATATATATATATATATATAATCAACATAGAGCTAATAATTATGAAAAATAATTCACAAAACTAACAACAAAAGAAAATCCAAGAACAGAATTTCACCAAACACAATTAATAGCAAAGACCAAATATTCAATCAACTGGAAACCCTAAAATTGTAAACTGCGATTAAATCAAACAAAAGTTTCAATCCCAATTACATTTACGAAAAGCAAAAGAAAATGAAAAAAAAATCCAAATATACATCAATTAGAAGTCTAATTTGAGAAAGGAATCAAACAATTTAAGAATTACAAGTAATAAATCACAATTCAAAAGTTTGTTCCGAAAATCAATCGGGTTTTACCCATTTTTTTGTAAAAGTTACACTTTTTGTGATTAGGGGTGATTACATTTGAAGTACCCATGGTTAAAAGTGAAAGTTCAATTTACGATTTGATTTCGATTTATAACCCAAACGGAAACCAAATCGTATAACTTTGTTTTGGGATTTTAAAAACCAAATCAAACCATATTACTATTCAGTTCAACCAAACCGCACCATTTTGAATTTAATTTTCCAAAAAATAAATAAATAAATAATAAAAACAACTCGGAATTTTCTAAGAAACCCAATCTCCATTCCCATGTATAAAAAATTGTTATTAAAATTAACACATAGTCAACGGTTAGGAAGAAAAGAATCACAAAACTAACAACAAAAGAAAACCAAGAACACAATTTCATAAAACATAATTAATAGCAAAGACCAAAGATTCATTTAACTGGAAACCCTAAAATTGTTACTTGCGAATAAGTCAAATAAAAAGTTTCAATCCCCAATTTCACACTCACAGAAATCAAAAGAAAATGAAAAAAAAATACAAATATACATCAAATCAGAAGTCTAATCTAAGAAATGAATCAAAAAAATTAAAGAATTACCAGTAATGAATCACAATTCACAAGTTTGTTCCCCAGACCAATCGAGAAAGCACGGAGATAAAGAACGGGAGAGAGAAAGTATGAGAGAGAAAGTGAGAAACAGTGGAAGACGGGAGATTAATAATAGGGTTTTTTTGCCAAATATATATATATATATATGAAGGGGAATTGGGCTGTAGATAGACTTGGTTATTGGACAGGGATAATAAGGCCAAACTTATAGGGCCCATTATGAATGGACATGACCCTTATTGGGTAGAGTTAATAGGCAACATATTCAAATACCAGTCTTGATTAACATGCAATATTGTGATTAAAAAATAATGTAATAAAATCATGTGTAAGTGTATAACAAATAAAACACGCCACATTAAAATATTGGAAGCAATCTCGCATGCATGCATGCATGATACAAGAAATAATCAAAATAATCCTAACATGATACTAGTAAGAGTAGTGATAGACACTACCAGGTATGGGCTCGTTGGGCCATACCAGGGGAAAAATTGTAATTTCCGCGCATTGACTAAAGAAATTACCAAGCAGTAAATTTTTTTTCTCATTCCAAAAAACCACTCCTATTCTATCGGAAAACCTCTTCCCTCTTTCATCTTCCCTCTTTCTCTCTAGCTCCTTGTGTTTTCCTCTTTGTTCGTCCCTGTTTCTCATCGAACCGCCTCGACATCGGAAAAAGTTGTTGAATTTCCAACAAAATTCGCTTCTTAATCTTATTGTGGAAAAAGCTTGTTGAATTTTATACCCAAATTCGGTGTTTAGGGTTTGTACTATGTCAGGTAATGATAATTGTTTGACTTAATTTTGAAATTTAAAGTGTATTTTGTTTTCAGTTACAATTAGGGGTTTTCTATTCTGGTTTGTTTGATAATTGCGAAATGGGGTTGTAGGCGGTGGTCGAAGAGGTCCTCAGAGAGGAGGTGGTCGTAGAGGAGGTGCTAGCAGAGGAGGTGCTCGTAGTGGCGATGTAGAAGAGGTACTTACTCTTGATTTTGGAAATTTGGGTGTGTATCTTTGATTTAATTTGTAGTTAGGGGGTAGTTAGGGGTAGCTTAAACGTGGGGGTATAGTTTTTTGATTCAATTACAAGTGTGTACTTTTTGTGCAATTACAAGTGTGAATTATTACTTTTGAATTGTCTTGGATCAGAGATAATAAGTTTTGATTTGATTGTAGGAATTTTGGGGTATAGTTAGAACTATGAAGTTAGATAAGTACTTAGTCATATGCATGTAACTTTGATATTTTTTTATGAATCTTATATAATTACTTAGATGATTATGAATCTTATATAGTTGGTAGTCATATGCTAGTAATTTAGATGACTTTGATGAATCTTTTATATTAACTTAGGTAATTATGAATCTTATATAGTAAAGTGGAGACGTAAATGGAGCATTGTTTTCAGGTGCCCTTGTAATCTTATATAATAGCTTAGATGATTATTTTGTTTTAGAAAGCTTACAATTGATGATGGAGAGTATTTTGAGGCTTTAGATAACCCGGATAGTCGGTATAGTTAACTGCACTCTAGTTTATAACCCGGATAGTCAGTATAGTTAACTGCAATCTATCCATTTCTTCTCCGAGTTAAAAGATATCCTATAACTCAATATATTACAATTAAGAATTTGTCCAACTTCCAAATTTCTAATACTTAGTCTTGGCTTTTAATATTGTTCATAAATAGATTATTAGCTGCAGTTATGGTTCACTATGTCCATTAGACACCTGGCCACTGTTTTAAGAACATGAACATTCAATATGATTTTCTGGTTATTTAGAGTAGGTGCATATTGATGCAACAGGATTTGGCTACTGTAGTATTTGTTTAGCTCTTGTATATTTGCTTAGCTCTTATTCTAGTGGAAGATAGTTGCATGGCATCTGATGAATAATTTTATTTAATTCTCTACAGTGTTGGTGGTGATTACGACTCTTAATTCTTTATTTACTTGATCCTACATCAACATTAACATTTGACTTTCCCATGATATCCCAATAATTAATGGATGACAATTATATGCACCTTTAAAAAGTAGTCATTCATATTAATTTCGGGTGTGCTGCCATCAGGGGTCTTTTGAAACATCTCTATGTTGATTTTGGGAACGCTGTAATAATAAACATTAAGAATGAAACCTTTGATTTAACAAGTGCTTATCTAATTATTTGGGTTTTGGTTTCTTATCCATTGCTTACCTCTGACAATTTCTTATCTGTTTGAGTTATTCTTCTCATGTCTCTGTCTCTATGGTTCCTTTGTGTGTTGGTTTTACACATTGTCTATCCATTTTTGATATGTTTTGTTCAATTCAAATGACTGAACTTCTTTATAATATGTTGTACAAGGTTGTGATTGAAACATCAGCGGGTAATGATGCAAGTGACGGGTGTCGCCCTCGTAAAGTGAGTGCGGATGTGTTTAGGGTGAGTTTTTCATTGTCAGTTGCTGTAGATGTATATGTTGTTATCTCCCTTTGTGGTTTGTATTGTAATTTGAGCCCTATTTTCAGGTTACTCAATATAAACCGTTTTGTTTTTGTAGGACAATTCTCTTAGCGAGGGTGGGAAGATGAAGGAACTCGGCACAGTAATTGAAAGATGCTCTATGGAATTGAAATGGGTATTTGGACTCACTAAGTTTGTTTGTCTTAAGTTTAATTATTTGGAATTAGTAAATTATTATTATTAGGTTTTGTTACGGTTTAACTTGTGTGTGCAGCCTGAAAATGTTAATTGCCGTGTAGAGAGTTTTGGTGCAACAATAAGCAAATTTGATGAAGATAAATGAAAGTTAGTGAAGGAAATGAGTTTTGCTGGACTGTATGCCCTTGTTGACAGGCAGCTTCCACGGGAATTATGTTATTGGCTTGCGACACGGGTGGATGTGAACTCTAGGTCTATGGTTACCATAGATGGCAAAGAGTTTGGGTTTAGCCCCATTCAAGTTCATTGGGTTCTTGGTATTCCGATGGGAAAGAAGCCGGTACCCAAGAAAGCCACCGAAAAAATGAGTTTTATGCTAGACTGTGTACGCAATAGGTACAACAAAACTACACCCAGTTTGGTGGAAGGAATTCCTAGGCAAAGCCTTGTTGAAGCAGTTGAAGGTCCATTAGATTTCAAGATTGCCTTTTTGCTCCTTGCTATAGTTGATATACTGTGTCCTACAACAAGCCAAAGGTTATGCCCCCCGTTTTTACCTGCAGCGTTTGAAAGTCCTATGACTGGTGCTCCTTAGTAATCGACCAGCTTATGCATGCTATAGGAAGCTTTGCCAGGAGGTTCTACCCAATGGGTTATTCCAAAAGTTGTGGAGGGTGCACAATATTTCTTGCGGTATATTTCCTTACTAATCAATCATTATATTGTTCTTTTTTATTTTTTTTAAACATTTGGGTTGTCTTTTATTTTAAATGAATTTTATGTTGTAGATCTTTTACCTAGATCGATTTTAATCCCCAAACTCCTCATACGCTATCCTACTCCGGGCATCAACCCACATCACATTGGTCAACCTACCATCATCATCTAGCCTATACTTGTGAAAAAAGTTCTGATTATCGGCACTCATCTTATCGAAATAGGCAAGCATTGCATTTGCATCACCGCCACTCATCTTCAACTTCTTCTCCTTAGCTAGAACATTCCTTAAGTCTCTTTCGGTGATGGCCATGTTCTCAACTTCGCCCCTCTCTTTTGCCAAACTACGATGTACTTGCGTCACTTTTCTCCCTGCACTGCAATCATTAAAGAGCTCCTCTTAACCACACTAGTTATTTCATCTTGCCGAAAACATTTAAATATATCTCGACTTCCGTGGAGTAGAATTATGATTCACATGCTCTACGACTGCCTTCCTAACTTCCCATGAACCATCATGCTTACAAATTGCCCTCATTTGCACAAGACAACCACATTTCTTCGTCTTCCTACGATTTAGCTGCAAACTTAAACCACCACCATAAACCCTTTTCCCATTAACTTTTCGTCTTAGGTCAGGATGACCAGCACATTCACATCTCCATATGTAACTCCTCAACTTAGTATTATCAATTCTACCATTCCTAATTTTGTAATTACCAGCTGCACGTAAAACTCCAAAACCTTGCTGCTTCCCGTACTGCCTGCAGAATTTGTCTGCCTCCTGCCAAATACTAAAAACCATACCTACTTCATAGTGGTTCAGTTTATCTTCAATTTGTCCTTCTTCATTCTCAACCACACAACGTAAAGGAGTACAAAAGCCCTCCTCCAAACCATGCTCCAAATTATCTACAACTAAAGCAATAGGGGTTGATAACAACTCCACCTGCCAACAAAAGACAACACATTCAACTATAAATGCTCTAATTACGAAGTCTACAAATAAAACTGCCCACAAAACAACTTTGACATGTACAACGTACTACAATAACCAAAATACATACACTAGACTACTAACGAAAAAAAAAAAAAAAAAAAAAAAAAAAAAAAAAAAAAAAAAAAGCTCAACTAATTATACCTCTTCAATTTGTCCTTCTTTCTCAACCACACAACGTAAAGGAGTACAAAAGACCTCCTCCAAACCATGCTCCAAATGGTTGAAATCATCTACTGAAGCAATAAGGGTTGATAACAGCTCCAACTACCAATAAAAAACATTACATTCAACTACAAATGCTCTAATGAGGAAGTCTACAAATCAAATTGCGCAAAAAACAACTGACATGTAGAACATACTACAATAAACAAAATACACCAAACTACTATCAAAGCACACAGCTAATTATACCTCCTCAAGTTCTTCCTCATGCGACACAACCTCATTTTCTATATAAGCTTGTTCCATTTCTGTATAAGAATCTTCCATTTCTACAAACAAAACATAACACAGCCATGTGACTTCAATAATTCAAGGAAATTTGTAATAACACAAGTTCGTGATTTAAGCTCCATATCAAACCAAACAAATATACCAACTCCAATTCATATATTAATGTCAAAATACAAACCAAAGGAATTATACAAACTTGAATTCACAAATTAACCCCACCAAATTCAAGGAAATTTCTAATGGGCTTAACAAGTTCAACGCAAAATTCAACAGCTATTAAAAATGGGCTTCAAATTCAACAACTTCCTTCACATACTCCTCATAATGCATTACATTAATTTTCAAATAAAAATAACAAATTAAACATTAAGGGATGAATTCACAAATTATTGTAAAAAAGCAGTAATTAATTATATACTTCAACAAGACTACGAAGAAATTGAAAAGAACACTACCCAATCCCACCGATAAATGACATTCCACTTATACTACTCAAAAGGAGTAACTATAACCCAACCAACAATTCAGTTAATAGCATTTCAATTAACAACAAAACCCTAAAAATCATAAGAACAATTCACCTGACAATTAAGGGAGAGCTACACCTCTTGACGGACGATCTCTTCTTGTTACAGTTGACAGGTTGCAGAGCCAGATCTACTCGGATTTTCTTCGATAAAGTTAAGCGGTTTTCCGGCCTTCAGAAAACCTTTGGCGCGAGTTGGATGTTTTTTAGCGGGTTCTGCTTTTACCCCCATTGCTATCACTTTTACTTATTTTAATTCTTTTTAGCTTTAAAAAATATAAAAAATAATTTTTTATTATCGTATGGGCTGGGCTTATCCCATACCAGGTAGTGAATAATACTTACTCATACTAGTAAGCAAAGAAACAAAAATAAGTACAGTAAATAAAACCAAAAAAATTAAATATTCTCTCCAAATGAAAGCCCAACAAAAATAATTCTAATTGCTTTTATTTTATTATTTTTATTATTGAACTTACAAACGATTTTTTTTTTTTATTTTTTTTTTTATTGTCTCTCTTGGATTTTGCCTTCACACCTTAGTTAAAAAATTAAAGATTGAACCTTAGGGTCTTCTTTTTGACTTTGAATTACTTGAATAAGATTAGAAATAAAGCTAAGAATAATAATTAATATATATATATATATATATATATATATATATATATATATATATATATATATATATATATATAGTGTACACACCTAAAAATGTCTCCCCAAAACCAAACCCGATGATGAACAACCTTTCACCGCCACTATTGATCGGGTTTAGTATTTAATCCCGAGAGTGCTTAAAAAATCGTACTTTATTAAATTCATATTTTTGAACAGTCCATGGATTAGTCTTGATGTTTGGTAAAAGTATAGTTTTAATTTCAGCCCAAACTTATTAATTAATTTTTAGCCCAAACCTTTTTTATTTTATCGTTTTATTATTTATTTTTGGCCCAAACCCTTTATTTATTTTTATTTAATTATTTTCTTATTTTAGCCCGAATAGTAAAAAGTCAGAAAAGGCCCGAAATTATCAATCGACACTTAAAATGCCGAAGGAAATTATGGTTAAAAATGTATTTAGACGGAAAAACAGGCTGGAATTTCCCGCGCCACGGCAGGTACCTACCGTGTCACGGGAATCCTTCCCGTCTGACGATGGGACTTCCCGTGACACGGGAGGTTTGCCGTGACACGGGACATTCCGTGTCTTTTCCGCGTAAACCCTTAACGCGTTTTTTATCCCGTTTTCTGAAAATTTCCCGCGTCACACCAAAAATGTACCATATCACGGGAAAGTGTACCGTCTGACGGTGGAGCTTCCCGTGTCACGGTACAGTTTGACCGTGTCACGGGATACTTTTTTAGGCTTTTTATCATTTTAGGGTTCCGTGTGCTCCCTCAGCACATTTTCCTTATAAATACCCCCTCATTTCTGATGAACGGGGCACCGAGTAATTCTCTAATTTTATTTTCTCTCTTCTATGATTTAGCCTAAACACTAGCCTACCCTTCTCTACTTCAAAATTTATTCTTCAAGTACTCAAAGGAGTCCATATTTTATTCGAGGTTCTGTCCTTAAACCAAGGCGTGAAAGGTAGAACTGTTTGAGGGTTTGACCCCAAATCAACTTTATTTTATTTATTTTAATTTAATCATCGTTTTATTATTTCCTTGAAGTTACTAACTCGTTTATTATTTTGTAGTTGCAAACAAACAGAATCGAAGTAAGGATCATGCTCCTTTTATTTCTATTATTTTTCTAACGATTTTATGTTGTTGGAATTGTGATTAATTTGGTTTTAATATTAATTTATTCTATTATTGATCACCGTATTGCATGTTAAAGGGAATATGTAATTGAAAATCACGCCTAATAAGATAATTTGGACAACCGGTTTAGGATCCTTTTAATCTTATTATTAATTGAAGTGATCACAATATTTTATAATTATGTTGCATTAATATTCAACCAATTTAGCTAAATAATAGTTTGGAACGAATTGAATATTTTGTTTGTATGCCTTTGAGATCACAGGAATGCTTTTCAATATAAGAATCGAGTAGAGGCCAATACGGGTGAATGTGACTCCATGACTCACTTCGTACCATCATCCCCGATCCTCCTTTCGTGGTTCCGAACCATATGGAGTTAGTAATCTCATGGATTATAAATGGGGTGTAACCTTCACGGGTCAATCGTTGTTGCCTATCGTTGTCCCTTATCGTGGTTGCCTTTTTATGATCCGTGAACGGTTTACAAGTTCCTTAAAAACTTGTTGGCGGCTCCCAACTTTCCTTGTCCCTAATCGTATTATGTCAATTCCTACTTCCTATGAGTTCCAAGCATATTCACCACATGCTTTTTAACGTAGGCGCACTTCGAGCGACGCCTACAATTTGGCGACTCCACTGGGGAGAATTCTTAATTATTTATCGATTTGAGTGATCGATATTTAATTAAGATGAGTGGATGAGACTTGAAAGATTCTTGAAAAAATATTCCTGTGATTAATTTGGCATTTTTGCATCGGCATAGACGTTTTAACGTCGCATTCAGGTCTGTCCCGTAGGAAAAATTGGATAACTTGGTTGCACGCGAAGGAAAACAGGGCACTAGTCAGATCTTCTGACTGCCTTGCCACGGCAGAATCTGCCGTGTCACGGGAATTTTTTCCGTGTCATGGCAGTCCTAAAATCAGTCCGGTGGCTTATTTTCTTTCCTCACAGTCGACTTCCTTCGATTTTTCTGAAAAAACGTATGTGTTTTACATGCGTCTTAGCCCCGGGGGATTTAAGCTCTATCGACCGAAAAAACGCTCATGGCAATAAGGGTTCATCCGAGTTATTAAATCCACCCAAACCATGGAGTCGAGTTCGATTTCATCAAGAACTCGCGGAGCCGCCCGTTGGCATACACCCTCAAGGGAGGCTGCCTTGCTAACGCGTCCAAACTCTTAACCATGGTACCCTTTTGACACCCAAAGCTTGACCAATAGTTGAACATAGAACTTGACCTTAGGTTGCGAACTATCCTTTGCATCATTGTGCCTACATGTTTTATGTTTGGTCGTTTTGATCCTAACCTTAACGATCTTTCTTTGTCTATGGTGGATTTTTTTTATGACTAACGATTGCCAATGGACCGTATTCACTTAGTAATTAGCAACAAAAAAAAAAAATTGTCGTGTCACGGTACAGCGCACCGTCTGACGGTGTGCCGTACCGTGGCACGGGAAAGTTCACCGTGTCACGGCAATTTCCACCGTGACACGGTGGATTTTCCAAAATAAAAAAAAAACAAAAAAAATTGTCGTGTCACGGTACAGTGCATCGTCTGACTGTGTGTCGTACCGTGGCACGGGAATGTTTACCGTGGCACGGGAAAGTTCACCGTGTCACGACAATTTCCACCGTGACACGGTGGATTTTCCAAAAAAAAAATAAAAAAATAAAAAAATAATAAAAAATTGTCATGTCACGGTACAGTGCACCGTCTGACGGTGTACCGTACCGTGGCACGGGAATGCCCATCATGGCACGGAAAAAAAAAAAAAAAAACCGCGTCAGTCAAGTCTTCCGTGTTAATTTGGTCCTCGCGTCAGTCATTTTGGTTATTGTTCACATGTCTAGCCATACGATTATACCCCGAGTCTTATGACATCACTTAGTCACTCACGAGTCAAGTATAGTCCACACACTTTCTTTATGTTCCGACTCGAGTCATGCACCAGGTCGTTTATGATCGTATATTAGGTTCATGCACCCTTTTTTCGTCATAATAAAAAATGAGTGGAGTTTTCTCACCTGTTTTCAAATGTCTAATTTTTTTCCTTCCATTCCTATCTTGAGCAATGAGTCAAACAATTAAGTGAATTATTTTATTTCACAGTACTTGGTCAAGGAACAGGGATAGATCAATACGGTTCGAGCCATTACCGCAACAATCTCTCAGATCTAATAGGCATTCAAAGAGAACTTTGTCATCTCCGTTACTCATCACCTTTCAATGGCCACTAAAGAAGACATTGAGAACATCAACAAATCCATTGAGGCACTGTCTTCCATGATGCAAACCCTTACCACTAGGGTCACTACCATGGAACAAAACAAGGTCACTGTTTCCACCCTTGACATACTGAAGGAACAAATGAGTAAGATCTCTGAGGATTTCACTTATGTGGAACGGCCTCCCACTCCTTTGGATGTGAAGGATAGACTACCTGAAAAGTTCTCCACTACTGATATTCCAAAGTTCAAGCCTACTGACAATCCAATATTCCATTTGAAGGCGTTCTCTACAACCATGGCTCTTAAGGGATTGGACGTAACACTCTTCCCTACGGTGTTCCCTCTCTCCTTAGAACATGTTTGCCAACAATGGTTTTATTCCTTAGATGCCAAGCATACTGCGACTTGGCAAGATGTCACCGGAAGTTTCATGAATCGTTACAAGTGTAAAATTCAAACTAAAACTTCTGAACGTGAACTTTCCATTCTCAAACAGAAAGAGAATGAAGGCTTCACCGCTTACCTGAACAGGAGGAGGGAAACAACTTCACTCTTGGTAGATCCTCCCAAAGAAAGAGAGATGGTTTGCCTCTTTATTCAAAATCTGACTCATAAATATAGGGAACATCTCAAATTTCTTCCACTGAACACTTTCGAAGCTGTATACGACATCGGCATCAATATCGAGAATGAGCTAATAAAGACTGCTGGTAGTAATAATAATAACACTTGGAAAAACAAGAAGAACGACCATCCTTCTTTTTCGTCTTCTAAGCACGAAAATACTACCAACAATATAAGCCAAGTTGATCTCAATGAAGTGTTAGCTCTTGATACTCCATTGCCCAAGAAGAAAAGAACTTACACTCCTTTAGGAATGACTTATGATGCGGCCTTTGATCGCCTTTACAGTCAAGGCTTGATCACACCTATTGGTCCATTTATAGAGCAAAACCTGAAGAAAGGAGCGCCAAATGGAATCCCAATGTCCATTGCAAGTACCATCAAGGAAGGGGTCACACTACGGAGCAATGTTGGAATTTGAAGGACGTCATTCAAGACTTGATGGATGCAAACAAACTTCCTGTCCCTCCAGGCGATAAGAAGTAATGAATACAGGGCACACAGATCCTTCGTGCAAGATTTCATGATTTCTTTCTTTATCATTCTTCTCCATTCCCCCATTCATGTCTAGCATAGGTTTTCCACTTTGATTTTTTTTATATATTTCATGTGTTTCGTTCACCTTTTCCATTAATAAAATGAGCAATTTTCCTTTACATCTCGATCATAGAATTTTCCATTCATTCATTCATTCATTCTCAATTAAAAAAAAAAAAATCAATTACCGAACTAAACCCAAGGTACACCAATTACTTGAGGCACCTTTGCAACCATGTCATTCCCTGTTAACCATTCAATCACATTCCATTTCTTCAGCAACCATTTTGAGCCTCGTCTAACGCTTGGCCTTCATTTCTTCAACCCACATTCACTTAACCCTGGGATTGGAAGATGTGTAATTGTATAACATTCAAAAAGCAAGTAAAAAAAAAAAAAAAAAAAAGCAGCAAAGCAACAATAAAACAATGTCTAAAGGCAAGT